CCGTATGAACATTTCTATTAACCCCCACCGATACATTCATAATACCCTCACTTTTCTCCTCCTCCCCTTTCTTCTTTTTCTTCTTCTTCTCATTCCTCCTTTGCATCCTTCTCCCTTTCTATTACACCCAACGCCGTGCGTTTGCTTATTTTTTCAAATAATATAGCGTCCATTGCATTGTATTTTTGTATATCTCTTTTAAAATAAAGCGTTGAAAGGTCAATTGATAAAAATCGCGTGAGGATAGTTTTGAACCAAGGTAGTGTAATCAATTGATCTCCTAATTTATATATATTACAATGAATCATTCATACAAAAAGTAAATTACTAATGTTAATGATATAAAATGGCGAAATCCTTTCGCTACCTAAATTTTAAAGATGCATTAACCCACTAATCACTCGATGAATGTTATGACCTTGTTTTTTAAAATTATAAACTGTATTAGGTCTTCCTTAAATATGCAAGTAGTTTCGACGGTTCTTCCAGTCATCATCAGGCATGGAAACTCTTTTGTTTTTGCTAAAATTCAGGTAGCATCCGAGGTAGCATCCGAGACGAAAAAATTAAATGCAAAACCATGTTTTTTTTGTTTTTTTTATAACGAATACAAACCTGTGGAGCGTGCAGTCGGAAGGCTAAGGTTGAATTTTGAAAATTCACAATTTTTGTATGAATGATTCATTATAATATAAATTAAACTGCACCACATATATATATATATATATATATATATATATATATATATATATATATATATATATTGTGTATATTTTGACAGCGTATTTTCATTGAGACATGTTTCATTGAATAATTTAGACAAGTTTTAAAATTGAAAACCAGCCTTAATAAAATTATGAATACTGCATAAATGTTTTAAAATGTTTCCAGTGGGTAGTTAATAATATCATTGTTTCTAACAATAGTTCTTAATACTTATTTTTTAAACTCTCAAAAATCTCATAACTTAGTTCCCCCCGTTGAGATGTTACTCAAGAAAACCACACTAAACTCAGCGTTCTTATCATTAGTACAATTTAAACTTTCAGATGAACACATTAATTAGTTGGTGCTCGATTAGCAGGAGCACTTGTGACCAAAACGTTTAAATTGTTGAATGTGTCGCGAGCTGTAGTGGCCACGGTTATACGAGCTTACACAAAACAAGGTAAAATATCAGAAGCAAAGAATATTAATAGACGGAAACCAAAGTTGACCGGAAGAGACCGACGAGCTTCAAAATGAATTGTGGCAAAAATCATAAAATTATTGAAGCAGGAGTGACGTCGGAACCCATTAATCCCTAATCCAGTTCCTACATGCACAGTTTGTCGGAAGATCCACAAATCTGATATCTACGGATGAGCAGCGATTGCTAAACCTCTGATCACAAAGTCGAACGCCAAGTTGCGAAATAATTTTTTTTAATTTTCACATAACTTGGACACTCGAGAATGGAAAAACAGTTATTTGGTCTGATGAGTCTTCTTTCACGTTATTTTCTACAAAAGGGCGCGTTTATGGCTGAAGAACACCGCATGATGCCTAATGATTTGGATTGCATAGTCCTGACAGTCAAATATGGAGGTTACCTCAGTAATAATTTGGGTGGCATTTTCCTGTTATTTTTCTGGTCCTATCACTCTGAATGACAGAATTACTGCAGATAAATATCTCGACATTCTCAATAACAATGTCCTTACAATGGCTGCCATATTGTTGCCAGAAAGTGCCATATGCCAAGATGATAATACACATTTTAAGTGAACTCATGGATTGATGAGCATCATAACGTAATTAAACATCTTCCATGGCCAGCACAATCACCAGGTCTCAATATAATTGAACCATTATGGGGAGTTCTAAAGCAGAGCGGAAGGAACAAGTTTCCTTCTCTCCCATCGTCGCTGAAACAACTTACTGAGCTTTTGATTGAAGAATGGAAGAAAATTCAACTGGAAACAATTCAAAACTTGTTTGATTCCATTCCACGTAGACTCCAAGACTTATTAATCAATATATATTGGTTTCGAGATGTCTCATTGAATTTATTTCTATATATACGTTTGATACAAGGACCTCTCGTTGATTGTATTTTAAGCAAGCTCTAAAAACATTTTCTACCATGTCATTACTCATATTTTGCTGTCTTCATATTTTACTGTCGTCATATTTTGCTGCCTTCATATTTTGCTGTTGTCATGTTTTGCTGTCAAAATCATTTTGCACTGATTCTGGAGGGTGCCACATTTTCAATATTTGTCAGTGCAAACAGTGCTTTAGATTTAAACTTTTTTCAGTTTTCGAGAAGTTACCTTTTTATTTTCTTCAAACGACAAGTTATAATGAATTTCTAATAATAATTTAGATGTAGTACAAGCCCAAAGGTACGGAGCACCCAGTGAGGATCAAACTCACTTTTGCTTCTTTTATGTGCCGTGTTCCTCCAGGAGGTAGGCGATCATTGTCCACCACATCTTCCTGTCCCTTGTAGCTTTTAATGCGTTTTGTTATTTCTCCCAAACCCTGTTCTGTCATCCATTTGCACAAGCCCATCCAGTATGTTACCGCTGCTTTCCTCTGTCCCTCATTCCCTCAACCTGTCCCGTGAGGATCAGGTTTTCCAAGCCTTTCTTCCTCATTACGTGCCTCATAAATTTCAGCTGCCATTTTCTCTAAAACATCATTGTTGCTTATATGTTCGGTCCACGGTATTCTCAGCATGTTAATCTTAATTGAACCAGCGTAATTAGCTTGCTAAACATTACACCACATTGAAGTGCCCCATTAATGATTTACTAAGCGTCGCTTTATTTTGGCATGAGGACACCCAGTAGGGATTGAACACGCTACTCAGCCATAATTGATGTAGCGAGACAAACTCACTTTTCACAACACTACATCGGAGTTATCATCACGTGACAAGTTATGACTGCCATTGTTAAGGTTAAAATACTTACGTTTTACAGTTTTGTCTTTCTTTCTTTCTCTCTCACTCTCCCTCTCTTACTGTATCTATCTATCTATCTATCTATCTCTCTCTCTCTCTCTATATATATATATATATATATATATATATGTGTGTGTGTGTGTGTGTGCGTATGTGTGTGCGTGTGTCTGATTAAATAAATTACAGACATTGTGTCTTTAAAATTTTTAATAAAATCCGTTCATACTCACGAATAACCTTCTGTATATTGAGGTTAAACTACGAGAGAAATGAGCAATAGCTATTTAAATCTCTTCAGTTTTCATTTCCCAAATACTTTCAGGGGTGCAAGTTGTACAAAACTGTATGTTGTTCATTATTACAAGTATTTATGCAAAGTTTTGTTTTGTTATCCATTACCGGAGTTTTTTTTTTTTTAGTTTTTAGTTTTATTTTTTTCATTATGCTTTAAATGCAAAACCGTTGACAATGTGTTGAGCGTACATTAGAACGTGAAAAAATTATCCATTATGGAATTTTTTTTTCATGTTATGATGTCATGGTCATGCGCGCATTAAAGCATCAGAAAACTGTTCCTTTATAGGCATTTCAGAACATTACTTCAGTATTCATAGTTAATTCTGTTTAGTGCTGGCGTTAATTTTTTTAAAAGCATAATGAAAAAAATTACGTTAATGGATAACAGCGCACTACTTTGTATAAATACTTATACTAATGAACAACATATAGTTTTGTACTAATTGCACCACTGAAGATGATCTTTGAAGAAGATCGAAAGTACTTGAGAAATAAAAATAAAAGAAATTTAAACAGCTATAGCACATTTCTCTCAATACACGGAAGGCTATTCGTATGTATGAACGGATTTTGTTAAAAATTAGCTGACATAATGTTTGAAATGTATGTAATCACACATGACTAAAATAGAATTTGCTACCTAAATACACACACTCATATATCTTACTTATTATAAAACCCAAGTTGTGTGTCTGTCTGTCTGTTCATTTATATATGGGATCGGATTTCCTTCATTTTTCAATCGATTTCAACAAAACTTCACAGGACTACGTACAATTACACGGCGGTGGTTCTGACAGCGCCAAAAATTGGAAAAACACAATTGTTTTTGCATGAAATCAATTTTAAAGCACGGGTAAGGGCCATTCATGCAGAGTTTTCGCAGTCTTTGGACGATGTTTTGTTACCGAGCCACCAAAACAAAGAAAATGGTCCAGTTTCTGATAGCACTAACGCTTGACTATCTAACAAGTACCAAATTGTTTGCAAGGGAACCATAAACGGGGGTACCAAGGGACAGGATTTAGCCCTCTGAACACACATTCACTAGTACAGTATGTACAGTTTTGATTTGATTCAAATGAAATTTACGACACTCTTGCGGCTTACTATTGACTTTATGTGTGTCAAATTTCAGAATTTTTCGGCAAAAATAACCGTAGCTGGATGCGGATCAATCTTTTTTGTAACTTCCTTACACACACAGCTGCTTACAATCTAGTCTACGTGTCGAAACCGAGACTGCTGCAAGCCCATTGGTCTCTTTCACAGAGCTTGACCTTGCCACCTGTCCAATCATCGCGCAGGATTTCTTACACGTTATAGCACCCGCGTGATCGCGCGTCAGCTTATGTGTAAGTGCGCTCAAGGTCAACCACCTCTATTTCGGGACTCGGGCGTGCTTTCACACTTATGCGTTTATTGTTGCCCGCGTGCACACACTTGGCTTACTTTATTCGCCTACTTCGGACACTGCAAGTTGTTGATTACGTGTTCTAGCTGCTTTTTTGTTTTATAGTTCCAACCCAACCCCACACACGTTAGCCAATTGTACTAAAAACCCATTTGCTTTTGGATTTGCCCTTGGTTTACCTTTCCATTTTTTGTTTTGAGTTCCGCTTTAGTAACATCTGAACTCATTTAACTGGGTGTTATCCTTTTTGTGTCTACGTTAGCAGTGCACGTTTTTTCGTTTTGGATTTGTCGAAATCTCTTTTTAAGCTTTACCCTCATTGACGTTTTTACTGTTTGGATGCCACCTAAAAGGAGGAAATTTTTGGGACGGCTCACGGAAGCTGCCTCCGCTGCTAGAGCAGCGAGAGCGAGTGAAACCCCTGAACAGACTTCTTTGCGCCTTTCACGGATGGCCCCGAGCTCAGCTGCTCGCTTATCTACGGAAAGCGCCGCTGCGCGGACTGAAAGGTTAACTTCAGCGGCTTCAACCATGTCCGCACGCCGCATCAGGCTTGCATTTGAAGAACGTTTACTTCAGAATTCACAGGACGCAGTCCGCGTGGCTAGGTTGAGGGTTTCACTGTCCCCAGCACAGAAAACCCTTCGTCGTTTGCGGGTTGCCAACGCCAAAGCTTGCGCCAGGGGTTTAGAAAGCCCCGAAAAAACAACTTCACGTCATCTTAGGAATATTAGGGCTACAGCCGCCTCTAGAGCTTCGTAACAACCCCAAGAAACCGCTCATTGTCGCTTTAGAAATACCCTATCCACCGCGTCTGACAGAGCCCTAGATAGCTCTGCACAAACCACTGTTCGTCGCGTTAGAAATGCTCGCTCTACTGCGTCTGCCAGAGCCCTAGAAAGCTCTGCACAAATCACTGTTCGTCGCGTTAGAAATGCCCATTCTACTGCGTCTGCCAGGGAAGCAGAAAACCCTGATGTACGCCGACAACGGCTCGAAAACATAAGCCAACTTCGAGATTCTTTGAATGGCGTAACTTCGCCGTCTGCGTCATTTTGGTCAAATGCCGCATACAATTATGACTGCACTATCAACTATTCCGCTAGGAGAGACGTACAAATAGGGGCCATGGATAAAGTTTGCACTTTTTGCAACGCAAAAAAGTGGGCCGACGAGCAACCTGGGCTTTGTTGCTCTGGGGACAAAATCAAACTCCCTTCTTTAGACGAACCTCCCCAACCGCTTAGAGACCTCCTTCTGGGTACAACTTCGGAGTCAACGCATTTTCTTGAAGCAATACGGAAGTACAACAGTTGCTTCCAGATGACGTCTTTTGGTGCGAAGGTTATTAGTGATGGATGCCTACTTTCAAAGTGCAAGGCCAGGTTTACCACTTAATGGGATCATTCTTGGCTGATCAGGGAGAGCCACCTCAGTTCCTACAAATTTACTTTCTCGCAGACTACAACGAGCAGGTTGATGCGCGTCTCGGCATTCTGCCTAGCGATATTTCCATCGGTCCCCGTAGAGACATTCTGTTCCATCTACAAGACATGCTTCATAAAACTAACAGTTACATCCGAAGCTTAAAGTTTGCGTTGCAAAACAACTCTTCGCCCTCTTTCGGCGTTGTCATCGATGCAGAAAGACGGCCTCACGGTGAGCATGAGCGTCGCTTCAATGCTCCTGCATGTAATGAAGTCGCCGCAGTCATCCACGGTGAGGAGCATAACAGCCGTGACATTGTCATAAGGTACCGGGGCTGTGGTCTGCGCCGCATCAGTGAAACCCAGCGTTCATATGACTGTCTCCAGTACCCCCACTTCTTTTTCCATACGGAAGCGATGTGTACCACTTCAAAATCCCAATATACCAGGCAAGTAGCGATTCCATGTCTACCTCAAAGACGGCCTCCCGTAGGGCTTACTACGCCTACATGTTTATGGTGAGGGTGGGTGAATTTAACCACTTGCACAAGTGCCGTAAACTATTTCTTCAATTCGCTGTTGACATGGCTGCAAAAATGGAGTCGGAGAGGTTAGGATTCATCAAGTTAAACGAATCCAAACTTAGAACTGACTCCTACATTCACCTTCGTGATGGTCTGCGTTCTGATGGTGACCCACGCAATCTCGGCAAACCGTGCATTTTGCCTTCCTCTTATACTGGTGGCCCTCGATACATGCATGAAAGCACACAAGACGCAATGACCTATGTCCGTTATTACGGGAGGCCTGCTTTGTTCACGTGCAATCTGGAATAGGTTGAAATCACACGCGAACTTTTTCCAAGTCAGCAGTACTCATAGCGCCCTGACCTAATTGCCCGCGTTTTCCGGTTACAGCTGTGTAAGCTTAAGGATTTAATCCTTAAAGGTCAAGTCTTCGGACGCGTTAAGTGTCATATGTATACAGTGGAATGGTAGAAACGCGGTTTGCCTCGTGCCCGCATTCTGCTGTGGCTCAACGATAAGGTTGATGCAAACAAAATAGACGATTTTATTTCTGCTGAAATTCCGGATCCTGCGCTCGATCCTGCGCTCCACGAAATCATTAAAAACAATACACGGCCCCTGTGGCGCGAATTACGAAAAAAGGTCATGTTGTTCAAGTGGCCCCACTTGCGCAAAGGGTTACCCCCGTAAGTTTATAACACAAACGCAGACTGCGACGGATGGTTACCCACTGTACAGACGTAGAAGCTCCGCTGATGGCGGCAGAACTGTGACAGTTAAGGGGAACACTCTGGACAATCGTTCGGTGTTGCCTTATTGCCCGCTGCTGTCCAAGACTTTTGGAGCCCACATAAACGTTGAATACTGCCACTCGGTTAAGTCAATAAAGTACATCTGCAAGTACGTTTATAAAGGCAGCGGTGCTGCCATTTTTGGTATCCGTCGCGACAATTGCTACCTCAGCAGTAGGGAGGACTTTTGGCAAATTTTCTGATTCCCCATACACCAAACGGCTCCTGCCATTGTGCAGCTTGCTGTTCACTTAGAAAATGGACTAGAGGATGTACTTCACCGAACAAAACGCGCAGCAGGTTGCGGAAAACCCTAATGACAAAACCCTAACGGCTTTCTTTAAATTATGCTCAACAGATGCTTTTGCCAAAACATTGATATACCCCCAAGTCCCGTCTTACTACGTGTGCTCAAACAATCGGTGGGTTCGGCGAAAGGCTGGCGACCCTGTCGAGGGTTATCCCGATGTAAAGTGTAACTCTTGCCTTGGACGCGTTTATATTGTGCCAAACCAGCCAGCAGGAGTGCTTTTACCTCCGTCTTCTACTTCATGAAATTGCTGGGCCAACAAGTTTCACAGATATTCGCACTGTCAACGGCATAGAGTGCCAGTCTTATAGAGAGGCATTCCTTCCGTTTGGGATTGCTTGAAGACGACTCCCAATGGGATGCAGCCATGGCGTAGGGTGAACTTCTCAGAACGCCATCACGGCTTCGAACGCTGTTCGTCATTTTGCGATGCGAACTAAGCCATCCTCTGTCGCTCTGGCTAAAGTACAGAAAATCCATGTCAGAGGATGTGCTGTTCTCCGTTCAGCGTAACAGCCCAGGAGTTGAATGCGGTTTCACTGACTTCATATTTAACAGAGCGCTGGTGGCCCTAGAAGATGTTGTTTTCGAACTGGGAGGTGCCTCTTTACTAGCTTACGGTTTACCACCACCGCTCAGAGACGGTTTTGACACTGTACCAACTGAATTATTGCGGGAAACATCCTACTCCATCGAGGGGATGAACGCATACATTACCAAAAACGAGCCCAAACTTCTACCTGATCAGAGGGTTGCTTTCACTACAATAACAGACAGGGCAAACGGCTCCAGTGGAGGTATATACATTTTAGATGCGCCAGGAGGAACTGGCAAAACTTTTGTTACCAAATTAGTCCTGGCAGAGGTACGGCGTCGTGGGGAGAACGCTATTGCGGTCGCATCTTCCGGGATTGCTGCAACGTTGTGTAAAAAATCTAAAAACACACGACAAGTACGGCGACCCCGGTCGGTTTTCATAAGCTCTCAGCCGTGATGTTGACTTCGACTGAAAAGAAGGCACTTCTCCATTGCAATTGATGCGCTCGGCTGTACGGCGACCCCGGTCCGGTTTCATGAGCTCTCAGCCGTGATGTTGACTGCGACTGAAGAGAAGGCACGTTTTCATTGCAATTGAGGCGCTCGGCCGTACGGCGACCCCGGACCGGTTCCATGAGCTCTCAGCGAGATGTTGACTGCGACTGAAGAGATGGCACTTCTCCATTGCAATTACGATGTTCGGCCTTACGGCTACCCCCGTTGCGGTTTTAAGGGCTCTCAGCCGCGATGTAGATAGTGACAGATCAGAATAAAGTAAGTTATATCACAGAAATTTTCTTACCATGACACCCGTCACCGTTCGCTCTTCTCCTGGTTTTACGGTTCTGCTTTGTGGTCGTGGCAGCGACGTCTTTTGGGCATAAGAGGCGTCTTTTAGTTAGACAAGCGGTTTGTTTGTGATTGCGCACGGCACATACTTTATGTCTATGGCTTCCTCACGGCACGTTTTCCCTTCAATCCCTATGTATGTTGCAACTGAATCGTGGTTTCCTGACTACTTACCACAAGTGCTTCCAGTAATGCTTAACAATCTAATTGGTTAAAGCAGTAACTGCTGCCAGCTTTTACTCACAGATGTCTTGGTAATGGCAAATGACTGATACTAGAACGGCTTTCCGTTACTTCCTTCGATATCTTCGAATACTTGGGCCTGCAGGATGTCTGCTTAAACTTTGTGTGCATTGCGTTTCATCGTTTTGTAGAAACTTAGTTCCTGTCGACTTACAAAGCACATTTTCAAAGCATCAGCCGTCCACAACTCTTACTGTTACATCCCTGGTTCTACTGCTATATATATATATATATATATATATATATATATATATATATATATATATATATACCTAGTGAGCCAGACAAACCTACCTAGGTTTCACCTAAACGGATCGTCAGGGAAACTTCCCTAACGATCCGTTTAGGTGAAACCTAGGTAGGTTTGTCTGGCTCACTAGGTGTATCTAGGTCTGCTCTACGGTTGTATTGAGCTCTTTTGTTAGTTAGTTGTTACTCGTATCGGGGTTTTTCTTTGGGCTTCAGACCTGCATCTGTGCGATTTTTTTGTCGGCAGAAGTTCATGTTTGTAGCTCTTTCTTTTTTAAAAACTTTTTTTCCCTCGAGATTGATTTGATTAGCAAATCAAAAATTCGAGGGTTTTTCCAAACGAGTCTAATTATCTATATATATATATATATATATATATATATATATATATATATATATATATATATATATTTAGAAAATTTATAACTTAAACATGTTATAAAAATCACTAAATAAATAGCCATTTTGTTTCAACACTGGTGTCTTATCAAGTGATGGTGTTGAATGCAAAACAAACCTTGGATTTGTTTTGCATTCAACATCATCCTCTATATCTAGTCTACTTTGTATTGAGCACTCTTTTAAGAATAGTAATTGTTGTTTATTGAATTCATTCCGTATACACCAATTATATACTTATATATATATATATATATATATATATATATATATATATATATATATATATATATATATGTGTGTGTGTGTGTGTGAGTGTGTGTATTTCTTTTGATGTTAATGCCAATTTTAACAATAAATATCAGTTTTTCTTGGATCTTTCTGTTCTTGAATCTCTTTACAAATACGCCTTTCCTATTCACAACTATCAACAATGCTTTTAAGAATAAGTCTTTGATATTTATTCAATGTTTTACGCCTCCTCTGTGTCACTTCGACATCAGACAGAACGTTTATATCCACTATCCAAGTCTGGTCTCCTGGGTTCGATTGGTTGATCCTTGTGAATCACAGATACATATTATTTTAAGGCTTTCATCTAAAGTGTACTCATAACATTTGCCTTTATGATAGAAATAAATAAAGCTGCATAATGCGCAGCAAATAAATATCCCCATTCGTTTTGCCTCTTTTTTTTTTTTTCCTCTAATAATTTTATTATATTCACATTCTCACGCATATAGTAACAGACATTTCCCGCTGGAAAACAATTTATAACAAGTTACTCAATACGCCAACCACATTCCATTACGTTCCAAGAGATATTAATGCATTATTACCATTAAGCGAGGGAACATTACAGCAGTAAAGGGTTGCTGCGGTACAAATACACGAAGCACGATATGCCCATTATGACACCCGGTCTGATACGGGTACACTAGTTACATACACCACAGACAAATAGTTTACGGAAAAGCCTGAAATTCTTTTATAGAATACCTTAAAATGTTAAATTGTTGTATTTTTCTATAATGTAAAATTTCAGAAACTAATGTGCAATTTTATTAAGAATGAGCACTTAATCAAAAATAATAAAAATAAAAGGAAAAAATTATCAGACAACTGCATAATATTTTGTTTTCGTCAATAAAACAATCATTAGGTTTAATTACTGCTATACAAACTCTTGGCATTCTTTGGAAGAGTTTTTGCACACCTTCTCAAGCATTCTTCAAGCACTAAAAAAGCTCACTCTCACTCTTTGAATATTCTCTTTAAAACCTCCTATCCAATTCATTCAATAATGATTCAATGGAAGAGAGATCAAGAGAATGCGGACGTCAATATTTTTCCTATATATTTTTTTGACTCGACGTATTTTTGACATATTTTAGAGAGTATTTGTTTAAAGGTGACTTTTCCAGTTATGCATAAAAAAGATGGTATAATATATCTTTGAAAATCGAACGATATTGTTCTTTTTTCATGATTCCCATGACTAGATGCAAATCTCCATTCCTTTTGGTAATTTCAAAAGTTCTAGTGACGTGCTAATGATGAAAACGAAGTTTCTCATGCAAAATATTCATAATTTAACAGAATGCATTGTGCACAGATGAATCCAAATTTGAACTTTTCGGTAGCAAGGGCAACCTAGAGAAAAACTGAAAACTAAATGCAAATATACTGTACTTACTGAAATTTTATCTTTTACTTTTAAAAAAGAAATACAAAAATTTCACATTTTAACGTGTTTTTGTTCGTCAAATGCAAGATCGCTCCAAAATTTTTGCCTGTAGTTTACCCCACAGCAAAAAACTTTCACGTCGTGCCCACTTAGAAAAAAGTCATGTTACCTTGTTTCATCAGTCTCCACTGAGAACATTCCTAAATATCTAGATATGTGATACCCATGTCGGCTTGGCTGCCTTGTTCTTCAAATTTAAAAATGAACTGGCTATAATGATCCTCTTGAAATACCGCTCATGAACAGTGACGCAACATGCGTTAGACACTAACAAACAAACCCAACTCGATGAGGTTAGGCATCTGACAGGTAATTATTTGGTAATGAACGGGATATTCACTGTAGTCCATTTTAATTCATCCACATAAAACATGTACATAATAATGCCTCCAGTCAATTAAGATCAGAAACCGGAAGTAATCCTATTAACCCAGACTGTGTTGAGCGACCGAAAGGGAAACAAAAAGAGAGAGGGGCATGTAGAGCAAATCAGAAGGAGAGAGGTTTACGTAGAGATACAAAAAGAGTGAGCAACGTAGAGAAGGAGAAGAGGCGCTCATCTTAGATAAAGGTAATTGTTTGGAGTGAAGTGGACTAACGATCTGTTGAAGAGAAATTTTTCTCCTTCTTAATAATTCTACTCTTCTTCTTCCTCTTAGTCTTACTTTTCTTCTTTCTCTTCCTCTTCCTTGCATTCTTCTTATTCTTCCTCGCCTTTTTCTTCATCTTCCTCCTCTTCTTACTCCTTCTCCACTTCTTCTTCCTTTTCTTCTTCTCTTTCTAATTTTTCCTCCTCCACCTTCTTCCTCCTCCTCTTCCACCTCTTCTTTATCAGGTTTCTAATTCTCCCAGTACGTTCGGTAAATTTG